AAAAAAATGAACATTTAAAATAAAAATGTTCGCTATACTACGGACTTCTATTTGATACAGGACTTCTATTATTAAACAGATTCTGTCATTTGTGAGCGTACTTGTATTTCCTACAGGACTTGTATTCGGGAAAATCCGTTATTATTGAAACCTACAATGTTGCTCTGCAAATTCATACTCCGACGTACAATTTTTCTTTGCCGATTGTTGGCATTTCGTGAAATATATAATACCAGGGCACAGATTGTGGTAAATCGTATGAAACATTTGCATCCATTGTCCCGTCGTGGTGGCTTCTGAATCTAAATGAGCTCGCCAGCACATCTTCCACTTGAACGATACGGGTACAGCTATGATGCTTGGCACCCTTCTCAGCACCTGTGGATTTTCCTACCTTGGCACACCCCGGCACCTTGTAGTGTTGTCTGATGAGCCTTTCCACTTGATAAGCCCCACAGTACTTGCGTCGGTGGATTTCATTTTGTGCTCTTGAAGAATAGAGGTTGCGAGGTCCGGTGTTGAAGTTCTCGAGTTGTCATGTTTGGATCCACGAGAGGCTCTGTGGATGGAGCAGTACTCACCGACTCGCATCACCCACTTCATGCATCGAAATGCTTTGCACGTTACGTGGTGTGGTTTGCAAGTGGCAGTTGAGGTGGATGAACTAGTTTCGTCAAAATCCTGTCTGGCCTTCTCAAAATTCTGCGGCCGACGTTCATCCGCCTCAATACCATTAGCATCGCCCTCTGACACTTGAGGCCGGTAACGAGCGATGGCCTTGCTTGTACGATTGACTTCGATGCCTTGATCACGGGCATGTCTGTAGCAATAGCCCTTTCCATAGGAAAAAATCATTTTATCGCAGTCGCTAAATCTGCATCTCGTACCTCCGCCATGGTTACGACAAAGCTTTCGCGATATCGCTCGTAAGGTGCAGCCATCCACCTTGCATATGTAGTAGCCACCATGAGCCCAGCACAAACCGTGCGCTTGGGAATTTTTAGTGCAACCTTGATGACGACACGTACGACTGCTAGGTCGCAGAGACGATGCTTCACTAGCAGAGGTATGTACGTCAGCCTTGCCGTCGTCGACATTTTCTGCTTGCTTGATAACCATTGACGAATCTTTCAGTTGTGGTTGGGACTTGGTTACATCACAGGAATCACTGTTGCCGATGCTGTTAACACCGGAAGGCTTTGAGTCAACAGTAAGAGCACTTTTGAGCTGCTTGTAGTACGCAGCTATGAGGCCGCTTACGCTAATATCTTCATGGGTGCTAAATGGACGGACACAGCAGTCTGCATCAACATGCTGCTCTTTCTCCGCCTTCCCATTTTGGGCTTCCTTCAGAACGACATCACGTTTCTCTCGCTCAGTTTTTTCAGCTGCACCAGACTCACGCCCATTCTCTGCTTTAGAGCCGAGATTTTTCTTGATCTTTTCATCCTGCATCGGACAGTCATCTGTAGATGCAAACGCGGTTCGGTGATGGACACAGTACTCGTTTAGGTCTCCATCGCGCATTACCCACTTCATACATCCCACCACTTTGCACGTTACGTGACTAGCTCGGTGACGAAAAGTCGAGCTTTTTACACCTTGTGGGTATTTGTTTGCTACACCATCTTTGTTTTGCTGCTCATTTTTAGAAACTTTTTGCACCAGAGTAGCAGCACTAGTACTTCCCACCTTGTCATCATTTTCACCGAGATCACGGGCTTTTGTACCGCGGGAACCCCCTGTCTCGACATTATTCTCGTTCAACCCCTGCCGCTTCTGGAAATACCGTATCGTGCTCTGCAGATTAGCGAGTTTCTGTCTCTGAGCATAAAGTTCGTGGCGGACAGCGCGTGTGGACCCATAGGCCCTAAGGAAAAAGTCCACGTCTGCCATGATCTCATCCACGCCATTCGGGTCGCTTTGGTTACTTTCCACGGTGATTTCGTCATCGCGTTTGTCATGTTCGTCCTCCCCACGACCGTTCACAAGGCGACGCACTTGACCACCAAGCCGCTGGATGTCGCGCTGCTGCTCTTGTAACTTGACGCGAACAGCACGAGTGGAGCCGAACTCGTCGAGGAAGAAATTCAAGTCGGCCAGAGTCGCCTCTTGTTGCTCAGGCGTCAGGTTGGCGCCCACGGCCTTGACGTCCAGCATCGCGACGTGACTAGTGAATTTCGGGGATGCGAAATCTCTGAACTGATTTGCAACGATTCTCTTTAAATCGATACATGGGCTTTCTATTTTTATCAACAAACTTGTTTTTCAGTTCAAGGCTCGAACATTTGTCATTGGAGGTGCACGACTGGCTGCGAATCTTCTGTAGCAAGCTGCTTCTCAAGTGTGGAGGCAAAACGCCATTTTCGAGCTGTTGATGAGACTGTCTTTAAAGCCAAGAAGATGTATCCGAGCACAGGAAGAAGAACGAATAGAAGTTAGTACGAAGAAGTGAGGATCAAGCAACTGAAATTCAGTTATTTTCTGAGAGTTGATGAATCGGTGCGTGAAACGAAACATCGATCAGCGATGTGAACGTGACAGGGAAATCGCCAGATCAAAAAAAAAGAGAACGAATCCACTTCAACTTCGTCAAGGAAAGTGCTTCTTCATGCTGGACGTCACGACGGTGGGCTCGGAGCTGGCACCCGCACAGCAGGACTCGACTCTAGCCGACCTCCTCTTCTTCCTTGACCAGTTCGGCTCCACGCGTGCAGTCCGCATCAAGTTGCATGAGCAACAGAGTGAGATAAGACGGCTCGAGCGTCAAGTCGAGCGTCTGATGCACAACGAAGACGAAAGCACGCTGCAGAAGACGACGAGCACGTAGCTCATGCGGTGGGGGAGACTACGACAGATCTAGATTTCTTTATCAAGACTTATGGATCCGATGGATCGCAGTACGGGAGAAATTGGAGATCCAGAGACACAAATTGTGAGCCTACGGAGCACATTGCGGTGGTTTGAGGACGGGCGATGAAGAATGGGAGACGGCATTCTGGCAATTAATTCGGAATATTTGCACACGCATTCAGCATCAACATCAGCAACACGTGACGATTTAAGGCTAGCGACACAAACGCGGAATCCACACGGTACCAATACGGCACTAGTGGTCGAAGCAGGTAACACTCACGGCGGTACTCGGATATGCAAGGTTTATGGGTGTGATCAGAGAGCAGGGGTATGGTATCTGTGCTCGGAACATCGCTCAAACACCAACTGTTCGGTTGCTGGTTGTGATAAGCTGGTTGTATCGACAGGTGGGATCCATTGCCGCCGCCGTGCTTTTGAGCAAACTCCAGAAGTAACACGAGAAACGAGAGCCACACGCAGCGACCGGGCGATGACTGCGGCATTGAAAATGATCTTACAGACGATGGTCCAAGAGTGTTTTCTCGACAAGTCATGCTCCAACCTCAGTCCCTAGAAATTGAAGGTGCCAGGCCGGTGGCAGCACCGATGGCTGAAACGAATTCGCATCAGATACCAGAAGATGCAGGGGGAATTGACGCATCAGCGGTTAGTCATGCTTGACTGTGGTGAAGATGCTTGCAACAGTAATGACAGCACTGAAGACACTTCCTTTGATTTAGTAAGCGAGAGAAGCGATGGTGATGTTGCGATGAGTGCACTGCAGTCTGAAATTAATCGTGATATCAACCAAAGCGAGAGAGTCGAAGAGATAATGAGCTCTGAAGATGTTGCGATGACATCTTTGGGGAGAGATGAAGACGAATTATCCGATGAAGTCCCTGTTATCGCTTCGATCAGCAGTTCCGATTACGCTGCTTTGGTGACCAGAGCATTGCAATGTGCAAGCGAAGCAGCCGCAAGGTTCAAGAATTGTACGACCCGATCAAGACTCAGCCTATTATCCAAGAGAAGAGCGATGCCGATACCGCTGCAATGAAGACGCCTCCAAAATCATCTTCTATCGCCGGTAAGCCCACGGGGCTGTGTCAGTACCCAGAGCGCTTCAAACAAGCTCAAGTACGCGGTCTATGCTGCCGTCACGGTGGCTATCGTACGTGCAAGATTGATAATTGCAGCCTCAGAGCAATCGCGCAGAGTCTGTGTCGCAGTCACGCAGTGAAGTGCCAGGTTGATGGAAGTTTACTGCTGCAGGCTGTAAAGGATTCTGTAGCAGACATGCTCGAGAACAAGGCATTAAAGCCAAGAGGTGCCACAATTTCCAAATGGAGCATGGTTATTGTCACGATCATCAAGCAGAAGACAAACGCGGCGTCAGCGAATGCAGACTCATCAAAAAACGAGCTAACGACGTTTTCAACCGAGTTAGCTGACCTGCGTTCGCAACTTTCCAGCAACACGTCCACAGCTTAACCAAGCAGATTTGGTCTAAAGCGCACAGGACACAAGACCTGTTGTGTCAAATGGTACAGGGAGTGGGTCATGGGAAATGGATACTGCCACGTTCACCAAGGTATTCACGCGGTTCGAGGCGACAGTTTGGCTCCAAAAGACGAAGCCACCCCGCTATCCTGAACTCGCTTGGCAGATAGCAGTCCTGTAAGCAACAACGACTACGGAGACCGCAGTAGTGGCTTAACTTTTAACAAGTAGCATCATCACCAGTTTAATACTAAAAGTGAGAATATCTTCATCCTAATATTTTCTACTAGTACAGAGATCACAGTCATCACACCTTCAAGAGTAACGCTTACATAAAATCACCACGAAGCTCCAGATACGTCACATAACAATTTCAGCTTGCTTGAATCACACAGCGGGCAGCATCGGCTGCTGAGGGTCCGAGTGGTTGATGAGCAGATCCACAGCCACCTCGAACGTCGTCAGGTAGTAGCCGAGCTCACCGGTGATGTCTTGGGGGTCGCACATTATCCGCAGAAACTCCCGCGTAATCAGGAGCTGCGACATATTACTCATGACCAACACGAACAAATGCACCGAGATGAACTCGTCCGTGGTCATTGAAGGTCGCAGTACCAAGTCCAGCTCCTCAATCGAAGTTAAGCTGCTCGTCGTGCCTACAGATGACGGCGAACGGGATGATCCACACGTCTGGAAGATAGCTCCAGCAGCACGCGCCAGGCACTTGAGCTTGTCTAGCGGCAGCGCATACTCATTCACACGACGCAGTTCGCGACGTGCATCCTCCCAATCACTTCCAGAGCCAGCCACGACATGCGGTGGCACTCCGAAAAACGACTGTGGCTTGGTCTGAAGCACCTTGATTTTGTCCTTCAGTGCGTTCTCGTCTTCCCAGTCCGAAAGAGTGTTCAACGCTTCGTGGACATGGTCCTCCAGGGGCACCAGCACGCGCTTCTGCACAAAGCCACACACTGCATGCTTCACTTCATCCAGGAATTCATCATAGTCCGGTTCAGAGCGCTCCGAACGCGCAATGGCAAGCTGACTCAGCAGCACTTCATCCTTGAGCATCATGTCCTTGATCTCCCCCATCTTCCTTGACACCGTGTTCAGCAGTGTTCGTGCCTTACGATCCGGCATGGTTGCGTGTTTATCGTCGCGACTCATGCTGGTTAAAATCACTACAAACGACTCACAGGCAAGCGAAACCTTATGGCTAGATGGCGCGAAGATTTCGGTCACCAGCTGGGACGCGCTCACCTGGTTCTTTAGAAAAAAGCACGTGCAACCACCGCGATCAAACACGTCGCAATGGCGGTGCACGCCCACGAATTCTTGCAGCAACAGCACCGCCTTCCTGCGTCGCGGCCCCAGTGGAGCAGGAGCCACAAGCGCCGCTGTCTGCCGCAAGAACGAGTCGAAAACCACTCGTCTCTGCGTATTCAATGAGCCTCGAAAGTGGAAAAACTTCTTGGGTAGACGAAATCTCCGCAGGCCTCGCAATGTGCCCCATAACGGCCTCTTAACAGGCGCATCCACGAGACTGATCTGCTGGATCTGCGAGTAGAACTGCATCATCTCCTTGAGCGTCTTCCTGACCTCCCAGCGCTTTTGCGTCTCTGCGTCGGACACTTTCAGCACGAATAGAGCATGACCATCCACAGTCTCCACTCTTACCACACGCACTACTACAGCATAGCGGATATGCAAGTCTAGATACTCTCTAGACGCACTGTGAGGGTCGAACGCCTCGTTTTCTAGCAACGAGCCGCGACTCACTCTACCGCAGCGGCATACGCGCATGGCCGAGGCCGACGATGTGTGCGGCAGCTTCTTCCTGCGCAGCGCGGTCTGCTCCTGTTGTGTCTGATTCTGATTCTGGTCCTCGGATCCGAATGCGGCGATGAGCGCATCGGTGCCGTCTTCTGCGTCGTCGTCGGTGTCTTCCACGTCGCTAAGACAGCAGAGTGGCTCCTGTTCGGGCTGCTCGTCGTCGTCGGGGCTCTGCAGCTCCATGTCCGCGTCGACGGTAGGTGCGCGGCGTCGCTTGCGGTGCGTGGCATCATGGTGCGAGAGCTGCTCCATGAGGCACTGGCCGCCCATGAGGCGGTTCACGGCCGCGGGCTCCAGTGCCATCTCGGCGTAGTCCTCGTCGCGCAGCAGCTCGTCCAGCCCCGGAGACGGTGGCGGGTCTGTATGCTGCTCCATGCTTCAACGCGAGAGTGAATGTGGCACCAAAGCGGTCGATTTTTTAGTGAGCATCGGATGATACAGTTGCAGCAGGACTGTCGACACACGACCGGTTCAACTCGCTTTCCTAAAACCTAAAACCTAAAACCTGCTAAAGCGGATGTTCAGAGTTAATATTTTGATTGACTATTTGAAAGTTTGGTATACTGGAGCTGTTGTGTTTATTTGTTCCGCTGTAAAATAATATTTGTAAAGATATTGTATTGCAGGTAAATCTGTCGAAGCTGATTCTATGGGCAAACAGAAGGCTGTGTACCGCTGCATTCAATTAGGATTTGAGCGCTACACCGAACCAAGAAGATGTGTGTCGGCTTCGCGTCGACGGCATTGCTGCCCACACCACCACTGCCAGCAATACCGACACCACTCTGGTGGGCCACCAGTGTGGAGTCGATAGGTAATCGAATGAAGCTGCGCCAAGGTCGGTACGCCAGCGTGGTGATCACGGGCACGAGTTTTCAGCGTTGGTAAGTGCTCCTCAATGTCTTTCTCCAAGGAATTCAAGCCCAATTACTTCTAGCCATGCGGTCAAGTGCGCAGTTGCCTTTGCGACGTGCCTTTGAAGCACCACCATACAATTGCAGGCTTTTGAATTGCGAAACCTGAAACCTTGACCTACAGACGGAAGAACGACGTGCAAGCACATGGCTCCTCACCAAGCAGCTTCGTTGGCATCTGGAACAGGGCACCTGCTCACGCGCTGCGTGTCAGAAAACCTATTCTCTCGATGCATTTTTCTGCGGTCGCATCAATGTCAAACGAAGTGTGAAGGTTGCGAAGAGATGCCTCCTATCTTGCTCCTCACCGTGGTCGGACCTCGGAGTTCGGGTCCACACTCGACGGTAAGTTATCAGCTGCTATGCAAGTGTCAAGCGTTGCCTAGTGCGCGAGCTGTCACAGTAAGGAGTTTGAATTCGTACACAGAGTCGGATCTCATCTTAACTTAAGGCAAAACATTAAACGTCGATAGATTCACCATTACTATATGCAGGTTGCCACAACTTGTAGCCTAAAAGGTTCCAATGGTTACCTGCAACCATTGCAACAGAGCGATCGATTAATTCAGCACTCGTAGTTGAAGACGCTGCATTCTTGAGACAGCACTCCTCTTCATTTCCGACGGATAGTGCAGCACACTGCCGTCGATCGCACTGCTACCTCCAGCTCTGAAGTTTAGATTGAAGGAAAAGTGCTCCATGGTGGTGCGTAGCACCACTTTTATCTTGTTCATCGCGACGTCGTCCGACAAAACTTGTGGCGACCTTCATGGTCTCCGCTAAACTCCCAATCTTGAGGAGTTCGACTTCCACTTTGACTTGGTTTTTGTAAAGTAGGCACCGCATCCTGTCGCAATGTCGCGCTAAGGTCGCTTCAAGAGACTTGTTAAAACTGGATGTGACGCCAAGCACCCTTGACAGAGGTCTCCCAAATCTAACGCCCGAAAGCCGGTCTACGCGCGAGGAGAACCGATCCTGCAGTCATGACGTCTATGGCGGCCAATGGGGCGATGAAGCTTGGCGAGCTGCCGGCGCTGGAGGACGTTCCCCCGAGCGAACGCATGCGACTGTTCCGCCAGAAGCTCAAGCTCTGCTGCGTGCTGTACGACTTCACCGACATGCGCAAGCAGGTGCGCGAAAAGGAGGCCAAGCGCAACGCGCTGTTGCAGATCGTCGAGTACATTTCGGCAGGCAAAGTGGCCTGGGACCCCTCGGTAGTGGCCGATCTGCTCGAATGTGTGGGCGCTAATATCTTCCGTCACTTGGGGCGCAGCTCCAACCCCTCAACGATTAACGCCAATGGCAACGCAGAAGGTGGGTGACCATCAGATATCGTCGATAATTCTCCCTTCCCTCTGTATTTATTGCTCTGACGGTATTTTGATGTTGCTGGTAGCTGCACCGGAGGATGACGAGCCTATGCTGGAGCCGTCGTGGCCCCATATGCAGCTGGTGTACGAAATCTTGCTACGTTTCGTGCTGTCCAAAGAGGTAGACTCCAGGACGGCCAAGGAATACTTCAGCAAGAAGTTTATGATCAAACTGCTGAATTTGTTTGACTCGGAAGATCCTAGAGAGAGGGACTACCTAAAGGTGAGGAGCATTTGGTGGTTTAGAATGTGGGGAGCTTAGCTAATAACTGTTGCTACTATGCTATTGCAGACTATTCTCCACCGCATCTACGGCAAGTCGATGGCGCTGCGTTCGTTCATCCGCCGCTCGATCAATGACATGTTTTACACGTTCGTGTACGAGACGGAATCGCTGCAGGGCGTGGGTGAGCTACTGGAAATCCTAGGAAGGTGCGTTTGCAAAGCCGATCGTTGAGTTCGCGGTGAAACCATCGTATTGTGTGGATTAGTACCTGACCTGACATCGTGTTTGCTCGTTTGTATGCAGTATCATCAATGGTTTTGCTCTGCCACTTAAACCCGAGCACCAGAATTTCCTAGAGCGCGCGCTAATCCCGCTTCACACGGTGCGTACTATTGCTGATAAACAATTGCGAATGTACTATCATAGTGGAAGACTAACTTGATTCGTGAACTCGTTGGCGCGATTTCGACGAATAGGCAGGAAATCTCGCCATGTTCCACCAGCAACTAGCCTACTGCACCACGCAATTCGTCGAAAAGGACCCGCAGACCGCCGAGCCAATTATCATGGGGCTACTCAAGTACTGGCCGGTGACTGCAAGCGCCAAAGAGGTACCGACTGCACTGGTGTGCTTGTTTCCAACCCCAGTGATTAATTGCGACGTTTTCTTTGCTGATGATGCAGATTTTGTTCCTGAACGAGCTCGAGGAGATCATCGAGATGATCCAGATGGAGCAGTTCGCGGCGGTAATGCGGCCTTTGTTCCTGCGGATATCGCAGGCCGTGTGCAGCAGCCACTTCCAGGTCTCTCAACGCGCCTTATATTTATGGAATAACGAGGCACTGGTGCGGCTCGTGAGCGCGCGACGTGCTGAGATCTTGCCGCTGATCTTTGGAGCGCTGTACCGCAACTGCGAGAACCACTGGCACAGCACCGTGCAGACGTTAACGTACAATGTGCTTAAGCTCTTCATGGAAATGGACTCGCAGCTCTTTGACCAATGCTCGGCGCAGTTCGAGGAGCGCGAAGGAAGGTGAGCATACCATGCATGAAGCACATACAAGTCCTGTTTCTTGCACTCGTTTAACACACAACCGAGCCATTATCTGACGCTTAAATGTGTTGCTATCAGAGCGCAGCAGACGACGGAACAGCGTCAGCTCAAGTGGGCAGCCTTAGAACACCGCTTGCAGGCGCAAGGACCGATGTGACAGAAGCGCGAGGGTCTCGTCGCTACTATCGATGACAAGTACACAAATAACGCGAGATAGTCACACCCGACTGCGCATTGCGAAGGGAAAGTTGAAGCGAGCGAAAGGATTCTGTTCGATCCGCAAATGGCCGGCACCCCAGACCGGCTTACACGTAGATAGGCAGCGGAGACGGATGCCCACTTGCAAGCCACTGCAATCTTTGCCGTTGTCGTGAGCGCTGCGTTTTACATGTTTCTCTTTTGCCTTTATTGCATTCTTGGGTTCGGCTGGGAATCACATCGAACTCCGTTGTTTCTTATTGTAATGCCATGATAATGTTAAGCGAGTTATTGCTGCTAGTGCGTGGAAAGCTGCATACGGTTGTTCTGCTGCAAGTGCAGGGACCATTGACGACTGACGTAGCTCTCAGTCGCTTGCGGCAGACCTCTTTGACCCTCCCCCACCGGGTCATTTTCAGCCGCACACGTTGCGGTCGACGCTCGGGTTGGTTGAAGGCACGAACGATACGGGTCGTCTGAAGACCCGGGTCTGACCCATGTCTTGTGCAACGGATCAGGTCGCTTATAAAATGGCTTTGACAAGACAGCCAATCGCTGGCTGATATTTTATGATTATCCAATAATAGGGCGTCTTGTATCTTGGTGATAGCTGCAGTGTGTTGTCCCGAAAAGGTTGTCACCCCCTCCCTCTCTAAAATGATGTCATACAAAACCCAAGTGACGTAGGGTGTGTGGTCCTCATTGGCTCCCCCTTCGGGGGGCGATCCGCAGGTTTGCGGCCGCTTCATTTCCGCTTTCAGCCGCAGACGGGAGCAGTTCGACGAAGGAAAACATAGCAAACATGCTGTCTCGTGTGGGTCTTACCGCCATGCGCGGCGCTCGCTCGATGGCGACGGACGCCAAGAAGGCCACGGGCTCGGTCGGCCAGATCACGCAGATCATTGGTGCCGTCGTTGACGTGCAGTTCAAGGACAACCTGCCGCCCATTCTTAACGCCCTGGAGATCAAGACCCAGGACAACACGCGCATCGTGCTCGAGGTCGCCCAGCACCTGGGTGAGAACACGGTCCGTACCATCGCTATGGAGGGCACGGACGGTCTCGTGCGTGGCCAGGAGTGCGTCGACACGGGCAACCCCATCATGGTACGTTCTAAATCTAGATTGCGCTGCAGGTCATTTAGAAATCTGGATCAAAAATATTTATAGATGTCCGGATATTGTTGAATGTGTAGGTTCCCGTGGGTCCGGAGACGCTTGGCCGTATCATGAACGTGATCGGTGAGTCTGTGGACGAGCGTGGCCCTATCAACGCCAAGCGTCACGCCCCCATCCACACGTCGGCTCCTCTGCTGACTGAGCAGGGCTCTGGCGCTGAGATCCTGGTGACGGGCATGAAGGTCGTTGACCTGCTGGCCCCGTACGCCAAGGGTGGTAAGATTGGTCTGTTCGGTGGTGCCGGTGTCGGTAAGACGGTCGTTATCATGGAGCTGATTAACAACGTTGCCAACAACCACGGTGGTGTGTCCGTGTTCGCCGGTGTGGGTGAGCGTACTCGTGAGGGTAACGATCTGTACTACGAAATGATCGAGTCGGGTGTGATCAAGATCAACGAGGACGGTACGACCACTGGCTCCAAGGCCGCTCTGGTGTACGGTCAGATGAACGAGCCCCCTGGAGCTCGTGCCCGTGTGGGTCTGACTGGTCTTACCGTCGCCGAGTACTTCCGTGACGTTGAGGGCCAGGATGTGCTGCTCTTCGTCGACAACATTTTCCGTTTCACCCAGGCGTGCTCGGAGGTGTCGGCTCTGCTGGGTCGTATCCCGTCTGCTGTGGGTTACCAGCCCACTCTGGCCACGGATCTGGGTGCTCTGCAGGAGCGTATTACTTCGACCAAGAAGGGCTCCATTACGTCGGTGCAGGCCATTTACGTGCCCGCTGATGACCTGACGGATCCGGCTCCGGCCACCACGTTCTCCCACTTGGACGCCACGACTGTGCTGTCGCGTCAGATTTCCGAGCTGGGTATCTACCCGGCTGTGGACCCCCTCGACTCCAAGTCGCGTATGCTTGACCCGCGTATTATCGGCCAGGAGCACTACGACGTGGCCCGTGCCACCCAGAAGCTGCTGCAGGACTACAAGGGTCTGCAGGACATTATCGCCATTCTGGGTATGGATGAGCTGTCGGAAGACGACAAGCTCACCGTCGCTCGCGCCCGTAAGGTGCAGAAGTTCATGTCGCAGCCGCTGCACGTGGCTGAGGTGTTCACGGGCAAGGCCGGCAAGTTCGTGCCGCTCCAGGACACGATCTCGTCGTTCAAGGACATCATCGCTGGCAACTACGACGACCTTCCGGAGGCTGCCTTCTACATGGTTGGCGGTATCGAGGAGGTCAAGGCCAAGGCTGCTGAGCTGGCGGCCGAGCTTGACGAATAAGTTACTCGGTTCGAAATGCAGAGCGGAAGATAAGCAACCCCTTAAACTCCTCCCCACCTCAATGGAAAGCGGCGTCTAGTGTGCGGCACGTGAGACCGGAAATTGAAAAAAAAAGCAACAACAGAACTCAAGCAGGCCTCAGGGTTTGTAAGTGGACTAGCTTTCTTGTATTCTCTGCGTTTCATATTCGTTGTAGCCTCTGCCTTCCAATAAAGCAATGAAAAAACTTAAACCAACTTGTTTCTTTCAAGGTCCAGGTAAAAAGCTGCATGCATAACAAGACACGAATTGCACGTTATGAAAGATACAACCTCGAAAGAATCGCGTCTGTTTCTCGGTTTATGACGATCACAACTGCGGCGTAGACAGGGGATCCGTCCATGGCCGATCACTTCTATTTTCTATTCATACTCGAAGTCCTCATCGAAGTCCTCATCATCGTCATCGTCCACAATGTCATCGTCGTCCTCGAGCTCCGCAGCCGCGATGATTTCTTCGTCAATAGCCTTCCACTGCTCGGGCGTAGGCTCCGGGTATCGCGACAGATACGGCAGCAATGCCATTTGACGCGAGATCTTGATCGCCTGTGCCAGTTTGCGCTGCTGCTTGGCCCTCAGACCGGTGAATCGACGGGGACGAATGCGTCCCGTGGGCGAAATGAAGAGACGCAGCAGCTCCACGTCAAGAGCCAACTCCACGACGTCTGGGTGGTTAGCAGCCACGAAATACTTCCACGGCTTGGTCTTTTCCTTCCTGAACGGCTTCCTCTTCTCCGCAGGCAGCATCCAGTTGAGCATCTCCGGAGAAATACTGAATAAAACAATAAAAATCAATGAGTCAACACCATCAACAATTGACAAATACAAAAATCAACTTACGCCATGCCCTGATCCCACTTCTTGAACGGGTCAGGGACATTTGCGTCCTCGTTGACGCCGATTTGACTCTCCGCGAGACTCAACGACGCGTCGTATCCAGGCATCTCAACGTAGAGACGGTCGTCCTCGACGTTCGTGGAAGACGCGTTGGCCACACTGTCCTCGTCGTATTCTCCCTCTTCCTGATCCCACTCAGCCACTTCACGCTCGAACTTCTCGGCCCACTCGGCAGGACTGAGCTCGGCGTCCTCATCGTCCTCGTCCTCGTCGTCAATGTCGATCTCCTCCGTGAACTGAAGGTCCTTCTCATCCAGCTGCTTACTCAGATACTTCACCTCTTCCGGCAGATCCGTCAAGTCCTCGTCCTCCTCTACTTTGTCAAAGGTTGACTTCTTCTTGAATTCTGCAATAAGCGACGAATTAGCACTTAACTCGACGCTTTAAGTTCTAAAAGACGCACCTTTCTTGCCGTCGTCCTTGCTCTTGGTGGACAAGGAGCGCACACCACCAATTAGAGACGAAGCGTCATTGCGTGCGGCCAATGAACGCGGGATCTGAGCGCGCAGCACGACAGTCTTGGCACTCGGAGTTACACGACCGAGCGCTGATAAGAACATCAATACACACAGACACAGCCATCACGTTGGTTAAAGAACTTGGCATCGAGTTAACGCATTGGAACACATTGAGACGAAGCGTACCAGCGATCGCAGACGCGCAGGGACGAAGCCACACGCGCACCATTTGTCTCTTGCTGATCCTCCACCGCTCGCTCGGGGGTTTGCTTCTGTGGTTGACAGTGGAGCTGTTTCGTCTATCTGGTGTGGACCCCGTCACTAAATTGTGATTGGATGAAAACATTTTCACATTAAAAATGCGAAAATCGTACCACAAAATTTGCGCTTCAACATGAAAAGTGAATCAAACGAACGGGTTCATGCTTGCTTCCTGTTTTCCTACCTGCTCAAGACAGCACACTACGTAAAGCGAATGAAAAAGAAAGATACTAGTCCACCAGATTTGCATCGCTCGCCTGCAAAACCTGAATGCCCGTCATCTAAATGCAATCGCCGTTCATGAAAACCATGAAAACCTAACTCTGCCTGCCATCTCCTCTCATGTGCTGTTCTCCCGCGCTCGGCGCGAGGAGTGCTGTATGGGTCGCAAGCAAAGGTCAGAGCCTCGCGCGTGCGACTCCAAGCCTCTTATTGGCCCCGCTCTCCTTCGTCTCCTCCTCCACTCGTCAACCTTCGCTTGGTCCAACTCGTTATCATTCGCTGCTATTGTGTCCCTAGGCCGTTGACGAAGGAGCCTTCGCCGCTGCCATCGACTCTATTTTCCGCCACTTCTCCTGCTCTTTGTTCTTCGTGTCCGCCATAGCTTGCTCCTTCAACGAGTATTCCTTTGCACACTGGTCATAGAGCGCCATATCATAGTCCATGTACAGCTTCAACACATTCTAAAAACAACACAACAAAACTTAGATAATAAATAAAACCCGACAACACAGCAAGCATACCTGAGCGAGTCCTTCGACAGTAGTGTTCCAGTGTCCCAGTGAGTTTCTATGGAGAGGGCCGTAAATGACCGGCAGGATCAAGTGCGCGTGCTGCTTACTCAAGCATCCATTGTTCACCAAGTGCTCATTGTTCCACAAGAACAGCGACCGCTCCGAAACTTGAAAATGCTGACTACCAAGCCACTTGGCCAACCCGTTAAACAAAGGCTTGTGCACCTGTTGCAACTGCTCCGTCCCCATCAGCTCCAGAATCTCCTCCAACTCGTTCAGGAAGATCACCTGCTTGGACGAGCACGACCAGGGCCAAAACTTGATGATGCCTTGAATAATCGGCACCGCCGTCTCGGGATCCTTTTCTACATACTGCGTGATGCAATAGGAGAGCTGCTGGTGGTACATTGATACGCACTTGGGCTTGTGCAGCGGCACCAGTGCACGCACCAGGAACTGCAGATGTTCGGCCTTTAGCGGCATGGCAAAGCCATTGATGATACTACCGAGAATCTCCAAGAGTTCACCGATACCGTTGTGTCGCTCCGTCTCGTAGACGAATCGATAGAAAACGTTGCTGATGGCCTTGCGGATGAATGATCGGTGCGACATAAACTTGCCATAGATGCGGTGCAGGATGGTCTTGAGGTAATCCCGTTCGCGCGGGTCCTCGCTGTCGAACAGGTCGATGATGGCCAGACAGAACTTCTGGTCCACGTACTTCTTGGCGACCTTGGCATTCACCTCGCCCGACACGATGAAGCGCAGGAAAAATTCATACACCACTTGAAGATGTGGCCACGAGGCTTCCAGCACGGGTTCGTCCTCCTCCGGGTCGAAGTCTTCGGTCTGCGGGGGCAACGCACGGCAAATATTGACCGATACCATCGCCATAATATCCGGCATCAACGTTTCCGTGAAGATCTTCTGGCCTCCGGGGTTGTTCACATAATCTACAAGTTCCAGTAGCGTCTGGCGCTTCAAATCCTTGCCCCTGATAATAAGACCCGATAGGAAATTATCAGATTGATAAAACCCACATGATAAAACCCAAGTTTGCCAGCTTACCGCTTGTCCGACGTGGGGTCGTCAAAATTGAAAATGACCGAGCACAGCTCCAGCTTCTGCTGGAACAACGCCTCTCGCCGCTGTAGCGACGTGTCTTTCAGGTGTGGCAAGTCCTTCAGCGCCTGGATCTTCTGATTGCGCGCCATGAAGGAGCGGCGGCGCTCGCGCTTGGGCAGCGACACGTCGGAGCGTGCCACGTCGCCCACAGGCGAGCCGACGCCGTTGGCGCCCTTGGGGGCTCCGTCAACGTCCATCCGATCCGGCGAGTTGGCACCGATGTGCTCTCCGTTGTTGCTAAGCTTCCGTTTCACCGTTTGCAACATCCCCTTCATTGCTTAGTTAGCCCGCCAGTGTAGTCGTATGTAGGGGGCTCAATCACCCAGCGGACCCAAACGCGAAATCAGGTCGGTCGTCCACGTCTAAATGTCTGTCGAAAGGCAAAAACAACAATGAGAATGCGAACAGGCAACTTTTTCATCCGCCGATTGCCACTTTTGCCACTTTGCGTCTTGACATTTCACTTTTTTCAAATGGCAAAAAAAAAAGCGAAGAATAGGAGGCGAGACTCCCTACCGGCCAGGCGGATGGAGATGGCGGAGCCAGGTCCTGACGGGCAAGGATACACGTACGCTGAGAGGGAGGGCACGCACTCGAGCTGCAACTAACCTTCAGTGACTAGTGCGGGCTTGAGGGCGACTGCGTGCTTCTGACCGTCCGCTGGTTGCCTTGCGGTCTCTCAGTCGCGTTTTCTTCCTTCCTTTTCCTCCCCCCTTTCCCCCTCCACGCACATAATAATTACATTTGTAGCCTATCCCCGTCTATCGCGATTGGATTCGATACAAACGTCAAGTGAATCGCAGGTGAGAGGGGGGATGCAAAACCACATGGTTGAGTTGAATTAGCCTGCAGGAATAGCAGTCTATGTGGCAATTTAGGTATCAATTTACGCATGGAGCGCGAGCTGACGCGGCGCTGCCGACGCAGCGTGCGCGTGGCTGAGTTCGTGGCAGTGGACGCCCTTAGCACTATCCGAACTGGCGGCGACGTAGCATCCAGTACAGAGCGCAAGACGCCGCTATTCGCAGGCTACGTGGAGGTTCTGTACGCACGCAACGCTTGGCTGGTAGCGCGCGTGGACATCTGGACGAGCAGAGACGTTTGCCACCGCCAAGGTTGGGCAGATGGCTATCAACGTCGCCATGGACAATAATTGTTGGCCAATGTATTTTTATTCACTATTGTTAACGTGTGTTTTGGCAATCTTTTTGCAGTCAAGTTTTCGAGCGTGTATGTGCAACAAAATGAAAATGAAGTGTCAGCAGTTGCAGTGACAAATGGAGGTGGACTGACTGCGCTGCAAAACGTTGAAAAAATCGCTCTAAATGTGGCGGATCGAGGTGAAATGCCGGCATTGACTAACGACGACTTGGCAAAAGTACTGGAAGATGTGGTCAAGCAACTCGTTGATGTATTCCGCGAACAACAAGTGCAGGTGAGTCAGCAGATGAAAAGTGGGAAGGCATTGCCACCGCTAATCGTCACTTGTGTTGTTGTTGCAGACTCTGCAGGCTGCAACATCACAGCGGGCGAAGTTCGAGTACGAAATGCTGCAACACCGTCCTGAACTGGAAGTGCTGGTGATGAGTAGTGAATCTACTGGCAACTACGTGTTGTTTGCGTTGCCGTTGCTTGGAGAAAAGCCTCAATGGGATCCGAAAAATTTGATTGAAGCAGAGGATCTGGACTCGGTGTACATACCTGACGGCTTCCATGCGCCGAATTTCTCAGTTACAACCAACGGATTGACAATTTTCATCGGATACCCAATGAAAGAGGAGGCAAAATCTGATGCTGCATGGCCACTTTTAGTTGAGTGGCCGGCTAAAATGTTGCTGTCGAGCCAAGTAACGCAGACTCCACCGTCTAGTAAGGGCCAATCTTCGGTAGAGCTCATCGCGTCTTGCAAAAAGGTGAAACATTATCATCTTGGTCTCAATACAACTGTGTTGCTAGTGCTAATTTGCATTTGTGTAGATGTTTTTGCAACAGTGGAGAAGGCGTAAAGATTTTATTGCTGAGCTGCGTCGCCACGTGATAGGTGGGTGAACTGACGTAGCGTTGATGATGAAGACTCTGCGCTAACGTTTGCTCGAACTGTAGTGTTAGAGTACGATGCTGTGGATTTTTCGCAGGTGTTCTTCATGTTGCAGGAGCAGTTAAATGACCAGGCACCACTGCGTATTCTCGTCCTTCAGCTGCAGTTTACAGCAGCGTTTTTCCTCACGAATTGCATGAGCGACTTGCAAGTGGTTTTACTCGACGGTGAAGCAGATACAGCTCCCGTTCCAGTAGCGCTTGCTGCCTCCAGTACTCCTCCCAGTCCCGACCCTATTGCACACAGCCAAACGTGCGCCTCTCAGTTCCTCGAATCCACACGAAAAAGTCTGCTTCGACATTTTTACGGAGAATGAACCCGACTCAGACGGATATTGCGATCATAGAGCAGAAATATGAATATGTAAAAGAGTCCAGTGAACAGTTTTAGTCTGGTGCTTTACGTTTGGTGCATGTCTTGCGGACCTAACATGCCACGCTGTCAAGGTTCAGCACTAGATCCACGTTATCCACATACAGGTCGCGCTTGTCAACGTCACAGATTTCAAGCGCTTTGCTGCCGCGTCGAAGCACTTGCTGCAATTCCTCGTCTACTTTGCACTCGTCAACGTGCAAAGTTCTGCTATATCTCCGAGCCAAGACCACCATCTCTCTAATCGAGCGGATACCTTGCTGCTTCGCCATCCAAATAGCTCTATTCGTCTGCAGACGACACCTTCAAGTTGCAGCCATATCTATGCACATGCCTTGCATTCACGGTTGCACATGTCACCACTGCAATGCTTACCAACACTGCAACCTGCACAATTCCACCGTCACAACTGCATTTCCCAAGTCGCGCCTACTCGCAACGACCCCCCAAAGCAGAACCTTCGATCTCCCTCTCAACGCCCAATGCGTGAAGCCGTCCTCACACCTGAAGACGAAGAGTATCTAACGCTGCTGGAAGCTCGCCGAGACCAGCAGTTCACTACCGCCCCGTTGCTCTCGGGTTTTCGGGTATTGGCACTCTTCTCGTACGAAGATCTCGATGGCCAAACCGACAAGTTCGTGATCGGCGCCAACGCCGAATGCGCCAATATCGGAGGTGCCACATGTGCTGAACGTGCCGCCATGGCGCAACTGCAACTTTTGCCAGTACGTCGAGTGCGCAAAATCTACATCGTGTCGGATTCTCCGCAGTGTTTAACACCTGGAACGCTGTGCCGCGAGTTTTTGCTGTCCAGTCCGTTGGTTGAGGAAAGCACGCCGTTCGTGTCACGAGCTGCCAAGTGCCGCCCGTGTGTCACCACATTGGCGGAGCTGTACCCATTCCCGTCACTCTATGACCGAGTGCCACGTTCTCAAGTTTTGCCGTTCGCGCGAAAATTCTGTTCACGGTTTGCCACTGACTTGCACGAAGAAGGTGAAAATGCTGACTTGCAACAAGAAAATGAAAATGTGACGCCATTTGTCAGGTTGCAACTTTCGCGGATGACACCAAATGAAAAAGAAGTTTATCTCAAGGCGCTGGCTGCAACGGAGAAGGATGCACGCGACGATCTGTTCCCGTTGAGATATGCTGCCGGCACGAAGTTCTCCGATGGAGAAGTGCGCGTCACGTGGCAACACAAGACGCTGGAATACGGCAGCTCACTGGACGCCGTTTCCAAGCTCATTCCGTTCGTCGAAGCGAAGCAAAACTCGATCAAGCCCCAGTTCTTGATGCAGGTGGATCAGTTTGGCATCCTCCACGCACCTTTTGCACGTGCACGGGCGTATTTCTTCGAGTTTGGCTTCCTCGACGTTCCAGTGTTGGTCCATGACGCAGAAGGCGCGCTGCATCGTATTCCCATTGACATTCTCGTGGCCGATTCGCCGGATTGTATTGCCACTTCCACAGCAGCGGTACAGTAGTCTTTAAACCTACTGACATCGCTACTATCCAGCTCCACGAATCTCGTTCATGCGCATTCGAATGTACACGCGCATCTGCTGGAGCTGATCAGTGGAAGCTTGGTGGAACTACAGATAAAAAAAAAAAAAAACACGAACAGTTTCCTTGAAAATCGGATTCTAACCAGAATAATATAAAAAAAATGCGATCCAAAGTTTTGCCAACTTACCAGAGAAGGAAGCAGTTCGCGAATACTGACAGTGCCGTCGGAATCGCGATCGAGAGAGTGGAAGAGATTATCAATACTCGTTGCGTTGCTCTCCAGACCGCAAAACTCCACCAACTGCTTCCATTCCTGTTGATCCAGATCGCCCGAGCCGTCTTCATCTAGTCGTGCAAGTCGTACGGCGAGCTGTTCAACTTGCTTCACTGTATAATTTGGTCCAAAAGGGTTTTTCCCTTGAGCAATCGCGAGCGCCAACGCCTGATGACGCGTATTTGCCGATGGAGAATCGGGTTTCTCCTTTTCACTGTGCTCTTTAGACACTTTAGGCTTCGAGCTCATGAGACAGACATTTGCCACGATCTTCTGGCACAACTTCAGCTTGCGTTCGATATTACTACTGCGAATTTTCTTTTCAGGACCGGAAGCCGGCTCGGTTGCATTTAGCACAGGTGCAGACGCGCTTGAGCTTAACGTATGTGAAGACTCGCCAGGTTCTTGGCCTGGAGACTGCGCCAGCTTCGGTAGTGACACATTTCTCGCTAGTATCACCACACTTGCATTCATCTTGATGTCGATTTCTGGAGTGGCAATCGGACGTCGCAAACGTTTTTTCGGTGTCGATTTCACAGATTTGCCAATAGATGACGCTGCGTCCTGTAGTTTTTCACGTAGAAATGGTGAAGGTTCCGGATCAAAAGCGCGTAAAGCACTCGCCGAAGCTTTTGCATTAGCAGCCGCGCGACGTTCGAGTTCCAATGGATAATTTGTAAGTGCTCGAGATGGAAAATCCAAAATCTGCGGACTATTGTTCATCATCGCGCGAGCCTTTGCCTTCGCTTTAGCACGCGCTCTCCCCATTTCTTCAGGCGAAGAAAACAATGGTGCAAGTGCTGCCATACGCTTCCGTTTGTCGGAGACATCCAACAGTAAGGCCTTGGATTTTTTCGCTATGGAACGGAGATGTTGCGCCTCCTCCGGTCCAAAAATCCCTTGATGAATTCCGGACGTGACGGATGTCACGGAAAATGGTACTTGTGTTACCAAGGCGTTTGCAGCGTTAGTCATCGCGATAGAAGCATCAGGAAAGCCCGAAATTTGAGGTCCAAATGGTAATTTTACCGTCGAGTCAAGCTCCAAAAGTGACGAAGGAGTCGCGAGCGAGTTTTCAGAAACTGGTTGCTCATTTTGAGGTTGGTGGCCTGCTTTACGTTGACGACTGAGCTCCTTCTTTAGTCTTCGTTGGTGTTTAGCGATAACCTCTTTCGCAATTCGTTCAAAGAGATCGTTTTGAGTTCCAACAGTGTGATCACGACGTATAAATTTCCACGCAGAAGCCGAGGCGGAACTCTGTTCTGCTGTGGTTAAAATATGGCCAACACAGGTTGCAGTGTGGTCCCAGATTTTAACTACGCCGTCTGCACCTAACGAGAGCAACTCACCAGGCCAAGGTACGCTTTGCACAGATAATACGCCAGCTTGATGTGCCATCCAGGATTTAGTAGATAAAACCACTGGCAATGGTGAAGTTTTACCCAAGCTTTCCAATATTGAAATTTCACCTTTAGAAATCGATGAACGACGGCGAATAGCTGAGCGTCGTGTGGGTTCTGACTGGGTTTTAACTGGGAGAGAATGAAGATTCCAAGCAAAAATCTGTCCGGTTTCAACGCCAACGTAGAGCATTGCGACCGAGTCTTGAGAATTACTGGAGCATATTGAAGTGATCCCGTCGAGCTCAATTTTATTTGGCACAGGTCTTAATGGAGCCATTTCTTGCATTGTGAGTCGCATTAAAGGTTGTGCGATAGTCGATCGGACTCCAATTGTCGGCCAAACGAAGATGACACCACTGACATCGCCTGAAACAAGGAGTCCAGGTGTAGCAGATGGAAAATGTAGAGCTCGAATCTCTCGGGTGTGGACGTTAGCACAACGAAATTGGAACGTGATGTGGTGGAGATCGTGCACTTGCACTCCGCCAGAATCGTCCGCTGTAGCGATGAACCTCGACGTATGAGAATCAGTCGGTGGAGGCGGTGAGCAAGCGCAACAAGTGATGTTTGAATTGTGAGCCTTTTCCACGTAATGTATCACTTCCAGTTTTAATTTTCCAGGTGGAGAATCCACAACACAAATCATTCGATCGTCTCCAGTCGAGACCAAACACTGCAAAAAATAAATAGTTAAGTTTCTGGTTGTTCAAACTGCTCGAAATAAACTTACATCGGCTTGAGAGCAGAATACAAGGGAAGTAACAGTGCCGTCATGCACTGCCAATTTCTAGAAAAATACAATTTGTCAAAAGATGATAATGAACGTGACAGTACACGTACATATCTTACCTGCAATAGTGCCCCAGTCACGGGATTGTACAGCCGAATCGCCCCATCCTAGGACGTAAATTTAGCCAAGTTAGGTTTGCAATAGACCGCAGATACATACATTCTCATACGTACATTAGTTGCCACGAAAAGTTTTCTTTCACGAGGACTATCAAACGTGATAGCACAAACTTCCGCGTCTCGGATTGACACTGGTTCTTCAATTTTAGCACCAGAGTTTGCATTCCACACCGTAATGCGATTCTCCACCGCACCAACGAATGTGTTGGCCACAGCATTAAAAACGACGAACCTCGTGGGCGCTGAACCTGCCGATTCATCAACAGTTGAATCTTCTTGTGACCCCACCGACTGCGTGAATGCACTAAAGCGATAGAGCCGTAAGTTTCCCGTAATAATATCGCTCGCAGGGCTCTCAGTCGAGTGAGTTCCTGGCTCATCATGTTGTGATTCAGGTCCAATAGTTCCACTTGATGAGGTCATAAACATCCGAAAACGACAGAGATTCGGCGTGTGAAGCTCAAAAGTCTGCAACATTATCGACAAATGGCTCCCAGAAAATCCTTTGGCGCATCGAGTGATGTCCCAAAGCTTGAAATGTCCACTTTGATCGCCCGTGACCACAAGACAAGGCCCAGTTGCAGAGGTTGACACAAATTTAGCCCCCATAAGACAATGGTGATGACCTCCTAGTTTAGTCTTAAGAACACGTCCAGAAATCCCCCAACAATAAGCTTGGTACTCAAATCCTGAGCTTAGTAGTAAATTATAAGCAGAATCAAGCGTCAGCACCGCTTGCTGGTGTCCTCGAAGCACGAAAGACACGGTTAACACAGCGGATGGACCACCAAGAGCGGAATTGGCACCTGCCACAGTCTCCCAGATCGTGATCGTGTGGTCAAATGATGCCGTCGCGACGTACGGAGTCTCTGGTAGGTCTAAACAAGCAGCAATACGCTCACTATGACTGCGAGGAAGCAGCATAGGCGGAGGTGGCAGTGCAGCCCCAGCGTGCATTGGCACTTCCAAGTCCCACAGTTGAACTTGTTCAGTTGATCCACCGGCAACAAACAAGCGCTTGAGAGGAGGAGGACACCACTTGACGAAAAGAGCAGGAAAACGTCCTGCGAGTTTCCCGTTGAAGACATAGGAACCCACAGTGGCGTCGATAATGGACCATAATGAAATACACAAGTCGCTACTTGCCACAGCCAAAGCATTTCGAGATGGAATGTGCTCTGCGTCCAGAACTTCCAGTGAGTCTAATACATCTTGCTGCTTCTCGCCTGCTTTCTTCTCTGCTGCGAGTTTCTCACTGCAATTGAGTTCGTGGAGGAAGTTCATGTCGAGGTCGAAAAACTAGAATCAAGAGTACGTAAGGAAAAAGTAAAAAGTGTAAATGATTATTTTTACGCACGAGAATTCGCGGAGATTTGTGTTCGATCACTGCGAGGCGTTTTAGTTGGGAGAACGTTTTGAGCTTGTTAATTTGGTAAGGAAATGTTCTGTAGCGCAAGATTTGTAAGTACAAACGAATAAAGTTGTAAAATAAAAAAATAACTTACCGAGTTGCCGTTGCGCTACTCAGAGGTTCATGACGATACACTATCATATTTCGAGGTGGAGCGTCGTGATTATCTCCATGACTTTGTCCTTGATCATGATCATTCTCGTCGTGAGGAACTCGTGTAGCAACAAGTCCCAAAGCAATACAAAACGACGTAAATTCGTCCCAATCCACGATAGAATCTCCATTAATATCGATCTGTTCAAACATCTCAAACAATAATCCAACAAGAGCTGTAGCGCGTCCAACATGCTGCATCAAACTCGGTCGAGCACGCATCAATTCCCATAGTAACAAGCGCGTAAAATCCACTTTAGACAGTCCTGCTTTGGGAAAATGGCGTTCAATACCCAGAAATTCGTTGCAACTGAGAGCTGCACAGATTCCGGCGACACTGGATAACGGATTCCGATTTGGGATTTTAATGTCCGGTATAAGATCTAACAGGAAAATCTGCATAGTTTCAACCAGAGACGCTGTTACAGCACTGCGAACCACAACGTTGCTTCGTTCCTCGGTTGCAGCATGAAATGCCCAGTCGTGATGTTTACCGTGTCGTCGGAAGAATTTACATAATATCACGACATTTGTCTGTTTGCCAATATTTCTTCTCAATGTCTTCGGATCATGAGAAATATCCAATAAACGCGTGCGTTCTCCAGTGTCATTAAACACGAATCTCTTGCCTCCAGCCGCGAGCGCTTGTGCTTGGGCTTCGGCCTGAGAGCTGTCAACAGCGTGGAGATCGCAAGTGAGCGAGAACGCGTTAAGTTGAGGAGATCGAGCGATTTCGTCCTCTGAATAAGTGACTAAACAGCCCACGACTTCGACGTATGGATGCAGCTTGGCCATGGAGAAGCGAACAACTTCACGCTCGTCGGTCTCTTTCAATTTGGCTCGAGTCGCTCGGAAATTATCCTCACCAAGATATTGGACAGAGTGGCTATTAGCTGTGCGATGATTTGTTGACGTGTCCGGACTTTTAGCACCACGAGCGACCTGCAAAATGTCGCCCTGAAAAGCACAAAACGCGGGTACTTAACGTACAATAAATCCCCAAACGAAGCACGACCTACCTACCTGTGCATTGAAAAGCAAGAAGACCAGCTCGAGAATCCACGGCACTTTTTCGTCTTCCTCTCGTCGAAGTCGCTGCAAAAAAAAAAAAAAAAAAAATGAACCACACTTCTCAGCGTTAAGGGCGAGCATCATATGCAAATATCATTTGCTCGAATTATGAAAAACCTACAAATACGACATGGGGCTGCGACGCTGATAGTGGCGCCACGTTTTCATCATTCAATGCATCACACTCACGAGCAGAGATGAGTGCATTGGCCTCGGTGTCCATTGCAAATAATGTGCTTCTGAAACGACAATTAGTATTGTCAATTTATAGTTTGGAGTTTCTACGCCGCCTTTTCAAGACCAGCGATCAAGATGGTGCTGCATGAGGAGGACTCGGATGATCTGCTCCCTCGTATCTTTCGACGTTGTCATGGAGCCACAGGTCCGTCAAAGCGTCACTCTCAATCTACAAAAGAGCGACGATACAGCAACGGGCTCCAGACGCTGGCTGTGACCAATTTGCACGAGTTGAGTCGAGAATTAGTCGCTACAGAGCAAGCTCTACACCCCAATAAACCAGAATTTATCAAGTCACCACGTCTGAATAACCAACCGATGCTGTGTCCGGCATTAGGCGAGCTCGAGGAGACTTTTCGAGAACTTCATGATCTTTACGAACGAAGTGGCAAATATCTGCTTACGTTACGGGAAAAAGAGTACGAGGCTTTACTCACTCAAGTTGCAGTGAGAACTCTGGCTCAAGCCTGTTTAACTACTGAAAATGGAGATCTCGACGCATCAGGAGTGAGAGTCAAGCTACTCGAGGTGGCAGTACGCTCCTTACCTCCATGGCGACGTCTGGCGCTCACCTTGTTCCTGAATACAAGTCTAACCTCTCTTACAGCACTTCTCTCAACACAAGAAGACCCATCAACCATCCGAGCGCAACATTTGGAGATGAATTTGTTCAAACTACTTCGAGAAATGTTGGCCAAGGCCGTGGTGGTTTCGTCATCTCTAACTTCCGAGTCTAGTGTCAATTTTCATCGTGGAAATGACTGGGTCGACCAAGCGGTTGGATGTTTGGACTTTTTCGTTAAGAAACCGAATGGAAAATATTCCTCCGATCGCTTGAGGTCACTTGATGAGCACACCCTTCTGTTTCTCGTAGCTGAAGCGAGCAACCGTGACCTTGTTAACTCCAATCTTCAACTGAAGGCGATGGAACTGGTTGTAGCGACGATGTACGCGCTCAAAGTCACTGGTAGATCGGACAATAAAGATCACACGGTGTGGAACTGTGGATTGCCAGTTGCAGCAGTCGAGCAGTACATTAGTCTGGAGTTACTACTCTACCACTTTTACACCTCTCCCGTCGCTCGATTACAGCGCTTATCATGTATGGTGCTCGTGGATTTAGTCTGTGAGCAGGTTCGATGCACCGGAAGTCGTGAAGGCATCAGCAACGCGGGGCTTGATCAAATTTGGAGGGCATTTGTAGAATGGGAGGATCCGGCGGTGGGTATGAGGCAGACTCTGTTATCGCCGTACGTTTCGAGCTCCCGGGTAGCCAAACAATTGGTACCGAGTTGTCCGTTAGTACAGGAGAAACAGTTAAACGCATTCGTTAACCAGTTTCGATTGTTAACACAAGTTGACGCGTACTTTGGAGTGAATCCGAATCTCGATAAAGCCGTTAAGGCGGTTAAGAGCCAAAGCAGCGCAAGTATTTCTGAAGGGCTGCTCGATCAAGTTTTGAAGCTTCTGCTGTCGAACCGAGCAGTGGAGCGCTTTCGAGGCGAGCGGTGGCTTGCAGAATTGCTGACTTATGGTCAGGACGACGACGGGTTCTCTTCGTATGATAGTAAAGCGACGACTGAAGGATCAGTTCATAAGCAGCATGAAGTAGTTTTGGTTCGTCCGAGGCCTGCCGACAATCCGGCTGGAGAGGAACTTGAAGACACATTTTGTTACGACGAAGGAGGAGAGATTAGTGTGGCTGCCCAAGCGAAGTTCTGGGAGTTGGCTGCTCCGACAAACGCGATAGGACTCCGTGTATCGTTTACGAGGGTGTTGGGGTTGTTTATACGACGGAAACTACAGCACAGTGTGAGTATATAGTTTAATTTTAATGAGCTAGGAGCAAAACTGGTGGTTAACGAATTGTATAAATGCAGGCAGGGAAGCCAGGCGCGTCGACTACTGAAGAGATCAACACTTGTCTGAGTGTTCTTCTTGATCACAAAGAGAGTGAGCCTGCGGTGCTGGTTCCAGTGATGCTGTTGATCCTGGACATTTGTCAGTGTGAGCTGTCCTACATTGATAAACGATGGAAGCAGCGTGACTCCACACTCTCCTCTAATAACCAAAAAGAAGCAATACTTGACCGCGTTGCTTGGTCGGACTCGGTGGCGTCTCGAGTGCTGAATGGAGACGTAGCACTGGACAAGACGCTTCTTAGGCAGTTGGACGCTGAATTTTTCCTACATGTGTTGACGGTACTGCATGGAAGATCCGACACACACCAAGGGTTTGAATGTCGTCGTATCTGCTGTGGAGTGAACGATTCATTGGTCGGAGACGTTGCAGCGTGTACAGCATTGGTTGTCTCCAACATTCTTGCGGACAACGACGTTGCTGTCGACAAAGTGGGAGGTTTGGCAGTCTTGGCGCCGTTTTTGCAGTCGTGTGATACTCGCATCGCAGTGTAAGTACGACGTTGAACGGGAGGGGAAGGAGCGCTGAAGTATTCTTGTTTGTTGCAGGTTCATGGCCAAACTCATCGGTGAGTTAGTGAAGCAAAGCGACGAAACTCAATACAGCGCGTTCCTCCGCGAGCTGTACGTCGCCTGCGTCGAAGCCGACGATGAAAGCGCGCTGTACAACTCGTACCTACACACACAGACGCTGCTCCACAATGTTGAAGTTGGTATGTAGCCATCTCTCTAAGATCCCCTTTCAAACTCGATATCATGCAAACTAGAGGGGACTGCAAACTGAAGTGTTTCGTTCGTATCATCATACAAAAGTGCCTGTATAAAACAGAATAGAATGACTGGCCAGGAGCGGCTCGCATGCCCCCACATCAGTTGCAATTGTTCTCCAGTAGGGAGAAAGTCAAAGAGTCTGGTTTAATGTATGTGGTTGCCGACGGGAACTTGATGTTGTACCCCTGTTCATTCGTTGAACGAATTGGGTTCTCCGAAAACTCGGAGGATCGTGTGTCGAGTTCTGCCGTGGATTGTTGACCTTCGTGCCTGGGT